TCTGTTTATATCAATTCTTCTCGCGAGCGAGTCCTGTTCTGCAGCAAATGTTGTTAATGCCGTTTTCATTGGTAACTCTGGGTGATGGACTACTTTACTTATTGGCCATTCTGATTCCGGGAGTTGTAGAAATCTAGGTCCCTTTTGCCAGTCGCTTTCGCTTTTGATATCGCTTGGTCGCTTACCTCGTGTTATCCAATCGGCGATGTTTTTATCACTCTCGACCCAATACCAGTCTTGGGGATTGGTACCTTCCTGTATCTCTCCGATGCGAGTAGCGGCGAATGTATTGTAGCCGTAAGATTCCTTTTGGATCATCCCGTGCACTATTTGAGAATCGACTATGTGGTAGTATTTCGCAAACTTGTAGCGGGATTCTTTGTCCAGAAAGTTTTAAGCCTTTTGCTTAAGACTGCCGCGCAAAGTTCAATTCGATCGATCGATAATTTCCTGTTTGGCGAGAGTCGGTTCTTTGACATGATCAGTCTGGTTTCAAATTTGTTGTCCGGTAATGTCCACCTGATGTAAGCACATGCTCCGTAAGCGTTGTCTGACCCGTCACTGAATATGATAAGAGTCGGCAGACCGAGTGCACCTGATGGTTTGAGGCATCTTGGAAATATAACTTGATCCATATTGCGCAGATCTTGGAAGAATTCCAGCCAGTTAATCCTTTGCTTCTCAGGGACAGGGTCGTCCCAGCCGAGTTTCTTTTCTGTTGCCCAAAGCTGGCGCATCAAAATCTTCGCTCTGACCGTAACGGGAGCTGCTAGACCAAGAGGGTCATACACGCGGTTTATCTGTGAGAGGATAATCCTCTTCGTTATTTCGCCAGTAGTTGGGTTTTCTTTGATGCGTCCTTTGGCTTTCGTCAGAGTTAAGTCTATTCCCACTTTAAACCGGAATTGATCCTTGTCTGTACTCCAAATGACGCCGAGTACTTTCTCTGTTGATGAATTTTGCTGGTTGGGTTCTAAAGCCATTTCGTTTGCTGTTTTGTCGTTCGAATAGAACCAACCCTTTATCTTGAATCCGCCCTTGACTAGGACTGCCTCAATCTCATTAGTTAGTTGCTTAGCTTGTGCGTCGCTATGTACACTGTCTACAATGTCATCCATGTACGAGTTGGATATTACGGTATTCGCGGCTTGTGGATAATTCTCTTTTGATAGTTCCGCTGTCTTTCTCATGGCTACGGTCGCTATGGTACCCGAGGGTTTGTCTCCAAATGAAACTCTTTGTATAACGTACGTATCCGGATCCCTGCTTGTGTTCATGTCGCGCCATAGAAAACGATGCGTGTGTTGCTCTATGATCTTGGTCTTCACGGTGTGATACATCTTTTTCACATCTCCGATGAATCCAATTTCGTGTTCTCTGAATCGCACGAGGATTCCTACAAGATTATTTAACAGATCGGGACCCTTTGCCCAGTACTCGTTAAGGACGTGTCCCATATAGTTCGCGCTGCTGTTAAAGACGATTCTCACTGGAGTCGATTTCGAATCAGGCTTTAGAACATCATGGTGGGAGATGTAGTGGATAGGGCCTTTATAAGTTTCGAGCTCTTGCTTGCTTAGTTTCCTAGCTACTCCTCGTTCTACCATGTCCTCAACTTGATTTTGATAAACTCTGCTATGTTCGGGATTTCGCAATAATCTTCGCTCGGTGCTTAAGAGTCTTCCAAAGGCAGCTCTTTTGTTATCTGGCAGGTCGTGTGGGTCGCGAATCCAGGGATATTCAGCGATCCAGCATTTTTCCTGTTCGTTAAATTCAAGGCCTTTCTCGATGAGATGGAGCTCCCTTTCTTCTTTCAGAGTGTAGTCGCTGGTTCCAGGAGCGCATTTTCCGCATTTGCAGCCTCCGCAGCGCGGCGTGCAGCTAACACCTAATCTCTCGATATTGTAGAAGTCGTCAATTTTGACTGCTTTTAGGTGGTTTGCACATGCGTCGAATGCTGATTTGTGGTTATTCTCCCGAATGGAAGGGTGTGTCCCGCCTATACATCGTCCAAAACGATTCTTCAATAACATTAGGTGTTCGACATTTCTTTCTTTTACCGGGTGGAAACCTGCGTAATCATACCCAATGAGGACGTCAACGGCGCCTTTCAGCCGAGTCACGTCGCCCCTTTGTATCTTGAGAGCGTCAAGTGCCTTATCCATGTTAACACTTTGAATGTCAGTGGTAATTTTGTCTATTTCGAAAACTTCCACAAGCGTCGTTTCGCCCTTGAGGTCAATGAGCGGCAATTTGTATTTTCTGGAACTTATCTTCTCTTCCTTCCCTCCCACCTTCACGAGAGAGATTTCAAGTGGCGTTCCGCGCAGTCTTTCTTCCCGTGCTTTGTCGCGGGTTATGAGGCTAATGGATGATGCGTTGTCCCACAAGACGTTTGCATGTCCTCTAGAAGTTTTTATTTGTTGCAACTGGAGGATGCAGGTCTCATTACCCCCATGGCTGCATGCACTGGATATTGCGGATGCGCTTGGAGTCTCTGTCTGATCTTCTTCATGTAATGTGGGATGATGTTTCTTCTTATATTCATTGACGCCGCAATCCTTTTTAGAGCGGCTATTGAGTGATTGGTGACCGGTTCTGAGGCAGGAAAAACACGCACCTTTTTTCTTTCAATGTTGATAGTCTTTCGCTTACTGTTTTATCGAGGTATACTCTACAATCCTTGGTAAGATGATTCGAGTTTTCGTGAACGACGCACTTGCTGTAAGTTCTCTGGCTGCGGCTGTCGTGTCTTTCATCCGCTGTGGCGTAATGGACAACTGCCTTCGTTATGGCTGGGCCCCTGCGCGCGAAGATCAGAATCGTCGTACTCGATAGCGCGTTTTTGCATAAGTAAGAATTTGAGCAGGCTCGGAAACTTGTTGGTTTTGTCCACAGTGCTGTCGTCAGAACTTAATAGTTTAGCCCATTCTTTGCGTACGTCTGGCGGGAGTTTTCTCTCTATGATGCTTACTGAGCTCGTTGTGGTTATTTCTGCTTCCAAGCCAAGTCTCTTAAGGTCACGATATCCGTCTTCTATGATTCCTACCAGCTCCATGAATCGCTTGTTTTCGCCTTCGCGGATGGATCTTACGCGTCTTATCTCATTAATTATCACGTCCGCGACTTTCGCTGGGTCCCCGTATTTTTTCGTCGAGTCGCTTCCACATCTCGTAAACGTCATCGTCGACGCTCTTTACGTGAGTTAAAGGTTCTTTTCCGAGACAGGAACGCAACGTGTAGGATAATGTATCTTCCGTAAGGTGCGGCATGACTTGTTTTTGGAAGTCTCTTTTGAAGGATGGATATTCTCTCAACTCTCCTTCAAATCGGGGCATTTTGATTTTCTCTAGTTGTAGGTGATTTCTCTTTTCTCCTTTGATCTGCGGCTGCAGTTCGCGTTCATGTTCGCATACGAGGTGTGTTTCGAGTTTAGCGTTCATCTCGTTATACATCGCTTGAATAGCTTGGAGCCATTTAATTTCATTGGCTGCAGATTCTCGCGTAGATAAATCGAGTAGCGCGCTATTCGCTAGTTTGCATTCCGCGAAAGCTTCGTCAATCTGTTTCTGAAGTTTCTTCGCCGTAGACGGCTTTACTTTGTCCGCGCTGAGTGTGTGCGAAGCGCTTTGACAAGCTGTTTCAAATATGGCCCGCGCTGTTTCTCGTCTGATCATTGCTTGATCAAAGAATCGTTCCATTTGCTCGCGTTCTTTGTTCGCCTTATCCCTTTGTTCCGTTTCTGCGCGCGCTCTCATTTGCACGTCCGCTATGTGGTTAATAAAGTTAATCTTAGCCTTTGTCGCTTCGGTGAACTCCTCCTGGACTTTGTTGATCCATATTTCGGCGGCTTCTAGCTCGGCGTCGTCTGATAAAAGCATCGCGTAGAGATCGTGCTTTGTTTCCAGGACGTTCCATGCTTCCAGGAATTGAGCGTAGTTGTTTTCCACGAGTTCGTGATTGCTGGCTGATGAGATGGACTTCAGGAGTTCGTTCCTTTTTCTGGTGAATCTTGATTTGGCGACGCGACGGACGTTCTTGGCTTCTTCTGCCATCGCGCTGATGATCGGGTTTCGAATGTTTCCTCGACCGAAGCGTTAACAGTATAAAATAGCCACGTTTCAAAGGACTTTCTATTGTTTATTGATGAGTCTTTCGAAACCTATGATTACAAACAGTTTATCAGGTTATATGAACAAAGTTCAAAGAAAACGATCCACAGATTTTACATACCCGATGGCCTCAGATGTCGACTTCGGGAGGAAGCTTGCAGTACTAATGTTATTAACGGTGATTAACCTAATTAAGTAGCTATGACGTATCTAATTTTCGTCGCGGCCGAAACAGAAATGAGTTGCCACAAAGCTCTACGCAACATCTCACAGGATTGGCTGAGAAAACGATCTACAAACGATAGTAACAATGGACACTAGCCCTGAAACGATAGAACTTCGTGTTAACAAGATCCAATGAAATTAGAGGTTCTAGAGAGCTTTATGACAATGGGTAGAAGTACTCCTAGTTGCTTCATGCTAAAGAAACCCAACCCTCGCCTGATGGGCAACTTGGCTCCTATGCAAACTTTACCTTTTGCCTTACATTTCTAAAAATTTTCTTTTTTCAAGTAAAACAACAAATGAATTTCGGTGAATACAAAAGCAGACTCCAGGTAACCAAAGCAAATTTCTACCACATGATTTTAAGGCTTAAATTTTAAATAAAATTTTAAATTTAAAGTTTTACTCGATTATTTCCATCCAAGGTAGCCACATGCAGTCCCTGACTGCCTATTTTTATTTATATCTAGAAGATCAGATAAACGAAGATGAGAAACAAGTTACAAACAGTAATAGTTTCACTTGTTTATTTTGACAGGAAATTATTTTTTATTTCTGAAGACTTATCAAATTCTACAAAAAGCAGACTTTTTGCTCTTACGAGGAGGGGCACGTGCACCCAGTGCACCCCCCTGGTTATGGCCCTGGTTGTCACTGTCAATTTTACATGGACCCAAAAAAGTTGTTTGCAAAAGCAATATCATAAATGGGGAAGATATCTTCATCTTTAGGCACTTTGGCCTTTAATGGCCCAATTGGAAGTATCAGCTCATTGGTGCAAGTATACGCTTTAGGCAAGTACTTGTAAATGGTGCTAAGGGAATCTTCGGTCTGCAAAAGACAAACTGGTGTTATTATTAGATTTTCGTGTACCCGAACACATTTCTGACGTGGGCCAGACCATGATTAACTACTGTACAGCCAAACCAATGGTGACCAAAGTGAACATAGACTCTAAGCAAAAAGTCGTGGCTCTGCTTACATCTGAGTTTAAGAATATATGTAATGATACGAATGAATAGCTTTCATTTGATTGAGCACATCAGATGCTTGTAGCTTAGGTATCAACCATTGGATGTATGAAACAAAACCACCAACAAAGTACTATTTTAGATACACTCTATTCTTTTTCCTAAACCGGATTTTTAGAATATTGATTGCTTAAGATACTCATTCCCAGTCTCTTGCTCTTTTTGCATGGGATCTATGCTACTGTAGCTAGGTATATATGAAGCACCCATAGCCAATCAAATATTTGCGAGTCATGTGGTGAAGCCATATGATGAAGCACACATCACTCCAATATTTTTCAACCGAATTTGACTGAATTGGGTAGCCACAACAGTTCATTTTGTTTTGGTAATTAAATGTGCACATACCTCAATCATTTCTTTAGCAAATCGAATGGATGGATTTACAGAAAAGCTCAACACTGGCTCTTCTGAAGCTCCCATACAAAAAATAAGGATGGATTCCAGTGTGACTGCCCGACATCCACTACCCACTTCCCTCACATATTCTATAAATAGCGAGTATATTTCCTTCTCTTTTTGAAAAGTTGTGGTACCTTAAATTAAAAATTGATATTCAATTAACATCAAAGAAAGTTGTTTCCAGCTAACATAGTGCAAAATATGATTTCAAATGACATCAAGAATGATGCTGCAATGACATATATTTTCATGTACCTTCCTCAGAGAATGTTGGCTGTAGGAGTCTTATCAGGTTCTTGGGTGTTAAACGGTGGTTGGTTGGTCTTAACAAATGGAGAAGAATTGGAAACTTCCTCATGATCTTTGCAAGACCAAACACATCTAGACCCGTTTGAGTATTAGATATACACTTGTTGCTGGTTACTGTGGTGAGCTTGTCGATGGCATCCAGTGGCATATAACAAGGAAGCTGTCCAGTTTGAAGGAGTGCTATTCCCATCATAACACCAACATGGCAGTACTCATCAGCCAAATGCTCTCTAAGCCCTTTGTTGAAATATTTATATTTAATGGCCATGTTCATGAGACGGATCCATCCACTGGAATTGTTTACAGGATCTTGATCTTCATTCTGAGAGGTACCACTAATGCAGGGGATTTCTATTGGCTCACTGACATGCGTTGTTTGTGATGCTGGCTTTGTAAAGTTCATAAGATTTTCATCTTTTTCTAACAATTCCTGGACACCCACTTCTTCCCCATCTTCAAGGAAGCACTCAAAACCATCTTTCATCTTTACATAGATACAGCTTTGCGCAGCCAACAACCTTATTTCTTTGAAGGTGAACTTGCCTGCCAATACTGGCTTGGTTAGTTTTCTTCTATTTGTTTGGGCCGACTAGCAGCCAAGCACAAATTGCGGACTTATATTAGGTCACATGATCAGTAGCACATGTTTTAGTGCGAGAGTAATCTCGTGTCAGGACCTTGAGTGCTGTGTTCATTTTGATTGTTGAAGTTTTGTGCTTTTCCTACCCATTTATCACATAGAAATATGTAAGTACATGTGCCTCGTTTTGCAGTTTTTACCGTAGGTGTACGAAGATCAAGTCAAAACAACACGCAATGTCAAATGGTGAAAATGTTTAAATTTAAAAGAAGGTTTACTCAATCATGGAATGACTTGTATTGGTGTGGCTACGTGTAAAAGAGTTCTCTGCATATGGTCCCCAACACTATTAGCCTTCAAAAATTCCAAATCCCTGCCAAGAATGGTAGGGTATTTAAGCTGAATAGCTTCTTCAAATCTGTTTCTTATTTGCTTCTCATCCATAAAAGAATCAAGGCTAACAAACCCTCTGAGCTTGATTGCATGGTCATCCAAAAGAAATGCTTTGCGATCGTGGCCATCTCCCTCTTCAAAGCTCAAAAATACAAATTCAAATGTCTTCTCAACAGGCTTTGCTTTCTTACTAAGCTGTGGGTTCATTGCTCTTAGCCCTTCCTTCTTGCTAAGTCTAGCAAATGATGCTGAAGTAGACGAACTGTTCACCATTGATCTAGCTCGTTCGACAGTTGAGCTAATGGACAACATAGCAGACTGCAAACCCGCACTGCTAGGAGTTGTGATATCTTCACCAGCTGAAGTCCTAGATCCATTTAACTTATCAACGATTTCTCCTGCCTGTTTTAGACAGGAAGCAAGATCTTTCAGGTTTTTCTCCATTTAAAACGGGAACGAAATGTACAAAGCAAGATGTTGAAAGCAAAAGAGCTACGTTGTTTTGGTGCCCTTTTCTTTGAGGACTGCAAAGAACTTTGGGAAACCACAGGCAGCCCCTCCTAGTGTGTATCTCTACTTTCTACTTGTTTATTGGACTGAGACTTCATCTCACTTCCAAAGATGCAAAAAAAAAAATCGGCCAATATCCAGCCATTTTGACCTCAGCTTGGTCAATAATGCATATGAATATATTTCATGCAGACTCATACAAATCTGGCAAGGAAAGACAGTACAAAAAATGCACTTCTGAGCCCAGAATTTGTCGAACATGAAGGTCAGTGGACTTCCTTTTTCTTGTAATGCGGTTCATGAAGTGTTGACTTCAGCACTGATCACACAATTATATCATCAAAATCTGTTTCAGAGTCTGAGCCAACAAGATAAAGAGCTATTGATCAGCATTCTCATTGTTTTTGTCTGTCAATTTGATGCCAAAAGCACATCAGTATAAGGTTTTGTAGCCAATGCTTCTCAACCTACGTCTAGCAAATGAAAAGACGCTGATTAATAACTGAGCCTGCAATATGCCATGAATATTGGTCAGAGGATTCTTTGGTGCAACAGCATGAGGATTCTTTTGGTGCAACAGCTGTCACTTTAACAACAGTGCCCTAGCGCAGTTAAAGGATTGCAATGAAGGCTTATTACATTTAAGACCAAATGTTATTACATTTAGGACAATTATTATATTTAGGACTTCAACACATGGATTCTGACATTGAATTGACTGTTTCATCATGTAGCACTTGCCAGTTTATGAGATCAGATCCTTCCCCAGTTAAACTTTACCCCTGCACCTTTCTAGTACGACTGTGGTCTTGCATTCATGTGGATTTTGCAGGGCCAATCTCTTGCTGTACCTACCTTCTGCTTGTAGATGCTTACAGTAAATTTCCAGAGGTCGTCAAAAGTGTACTACCTCAGCTAAAGCAACCGTGACAAGCTTGTGTGACATCTTCAGCAGGCAAGGTGTTAAGAATCAAAAAATTGTAATTATTTGGCCGTTCAATGATTAACTAGTTGCCTAGATGATTTCGCGAATTTACCGCTTATTTGTATCGCGGGCGCATTTTTTACACGTGTAAGACAAAGGAAGACATGTTGATTGTGAGACTTCGCTGTTCATTCTAGCGTGAGATTAAAAGGTAAAAGCTATTGCTCTGTGTGACGACCCCGTTGGATATTGACCGTTCTGCCAATTGAGAACAATTGTGGTCCTTCGAGCCGGATTGTTTGGATTTAGCGACGACAGAGAGTGGATTTTAACCGAACAGACGAATGAACAGTAATGTCGGACACCAGTAAACCAGACCAAGACCTGACTAGCGGAGGAGAAGACTTGCTGCCTTCGACGAAGGAAAAACCACCAGACGTTGTAATCGAACAGGAAAACGAAAGTGAAAAAGATGGGAGCGCAGTAAGTACCGCTAGTGGTAAAATTCAATCGTTACGTAATAACAAGAAGTCAGCCAAGACTAGACTTACGAAAGCAAAGAATCAGTTGAGTGATCTACTGGGAAGTAACACAGTAACAGGAACTTTGCCGAGTAAAAACACTGTTCAGAGAGCCATTAACAAAATCAAAGCAGAATTAACTCTTATTGAAAAAATTGTCGCCAGTCTTAAAGAAGTTTATGCACTGAACGAAATTGCAGAGGCAGATACAATTATTGAGTCACTTGACAAAGAGGCGGATGAGATAGTAGCATCAGTTGACGAGGTTATTGAGAATGCTGAAAGACACGTGCAAGAAAGACTAGACAAGGGAGAGGAAGAGTCAGTTCTGCTTTCAAATAAGTCACAGGCAAGTGATGATAAAGTCTCCTTAGCATCATCGTACGTAAAACAAAAACAGTTGGAAGCAAAACAGGCCAGTGAACGCCTTGCTCAAGTAGAAGAAGAGCAAAAACAAAAAGAGTTAGAGCTTGAAAAAATAACTGCCGAGGTTCAGCTAGCCAAACAGCGGGCTGAAGAAGCAAGGAAGGTTGCTGCTCTGAATAAACTGAGAGCAGATGCAGCAGAGCGAGAGTCTGGCTTACTCAATAAGGATGACACTTCACTGGGCATCTCCCGTTCCCCTGATCTAGTTTATGAAAAGAATGCCTGTGGACCTGGCCAGTACCCTGGAAGACTAGTACAAAGGAGCTTACCTGTCAAGCTGAAAGGTGTCGATCTCCCTAAGTTCTCAGGAGAAGATAAAGCTGATTACGAGCCTTGGAGGGCTAATAATAATAATAATAATAATGTTTATTTCTTATATTGCGCAGTCTAGCATGCGATAAAGATATCATCGAGTGCGCATTACAACACTAAAATCTTTAAGTAATAAATGGCTAGTCCAGATAATGATAATAATAATAATAATTTACAATTTTCGGAAAACAATAAAAGTAAAATATGAGTTAATAAAAGAACTAATAAAAAGCTAATTTAAAAAGATGTGTCTTTAGTAAAACTTTAAAAATGTTCAATGATTGACATTGTCTAATTTCTAGAGGGAGTCGATTCCATACTCTGGGCACAGCATTTTCAAACGCCCTATCCCCGAGTGTCTTTTTTGTTCTATAGGTATTGTCCATTAGGAGTATGCCCCGGTATGATCTCAACTGATACCGCGAGCTCTCTTTGATTTTCATCAAGTCTGAAAGATATTGTGGTGCGACACTGTAGATACATTTGTGAACTAGCATTGCTATCTTGAATTCTATTCTGTGGGTAACCGGAAGCCAGTGCAGGTTGATCAGGGATGGTGTGATAGGATCATACCTAGATATAGTACATACCAGCCGAGCACCCGCTTTCTGCAGGCGTTGCAGCTTACCAAGATGACCAGCGGGCGTACCATATAATAGACCGTTACAATAGTCTAATCGTGACATTATAATAGCCTGTACAATGGACTACCTATTATCATATGATAAATACTTTCTAATATGCCGGATGTTATGTAGATGTAATAAATATTCTGACATATGCTGTTAATATGTGTGGTCATATTCATGTTTGCATCAAACCAAGCACCCAGGTTTCTAACAGAGTAAACCGCAGAAACCTTTACCTTACCTACTTGCAAGTCACTTATCATAACCTCATTTAACTGTGCGCGTGTACCTATAATAAGAAACTCGGTCTTAGCATCGTTCAGCCGAAGTTTGTCTTGGACCATCCAGGTTCTTATGTCCCTGATGCAAGCTTGTAGAGCGTCAACAGCATCCGTCTCAGTAGTTGAACCATCCGGCTTAAATGAGATATAGAGCTGCGTATCATCAGCGTATGCGTGAACGTTAGGGAGATGGGATTCAACAACATTGAAGAGCTTACTTGCGTACAACATGAAGAGCAAGGGACCAAGACATGATCCTTGAGGTACCCCTTGAGGCAGATCAAAGTCACTCGAATAGCTCCCGTTAATCAGGATTCGCTGTTTCCTGTTTGATAAATACGAGTGAAACCATTTAAGAGCGGTACCTGTAATTCCATACGTCACACACAGGCGATTCAACAACACTTGGTGGTCAATCGTGTCAAATGCTGCACTCAGGTCTAGCAATACCAAAAGAGTAACTCGTTGATTGTCCATTGCAGCTAGTATGTCATTCTGTATCTTCAACAGGGCAGTCTCTGTGCTATGACCAAGTCGATAGGCTGACTGGAGGATGGGATACAAACCCAACTGAGTAACGTGATCGGTTGTCTGATCATAAACTGCACTTTCAACCAATTTAGAGAGGTATTGCAGATTACTCACAGGTCTTAAATTGGATAAGGAAGTCCCTTGCTTGGTCTTCTTCAGTCTTGGATCCGCAAGGGCCGTTTTCCAATCAGATGGAAAGTGTCCCAAGGAAAGTGAAGAATTCACGACATTAGTGATGATGGGGAGAAGCATATCGGACATGCCGACTACTAAATTGGTCGGCATAGGATCAAGTTGACAGCTTTTCTTCGATGATCTACTGACCAGCTTCCTTATATCTTCCACAGAATACGTATTGAAATGATCAAGTTTCCTATCGCCTGTAAACACTCTATCCTCAGCCACCGCCCCAGGATGAAGAGTACACGCATCAAGCTCTGCCCGAATCTTTGCAATCTTACGGTCGAAAAACCGCCCGATATCGTTGGCTAAGATTGAGTTGTCCGTGTATTCTGGAAAACACAACTCATTCCTAGGAAGTAACAATGATCGAGTGGCCCTGAATAGCTTTCCTTGGTTTTCACTATTGACGTTCACAAAGTCTGAGTAGAAAGCATGCTTAGCCCGTGTACTTAAATAAGTAATGTGGTTCTTGAGTTTCTTGAATGCCAACAAATCTTCCTGTGATCGTGTTCTTCTCCATCTCCGTTCTGCTTTCTGGTGTCGCCTTTTTGCCTCGGCTATCTCACTGGTATACCAGGGTACCTTGGGCCTAGCCCGCACTGTTTTGGTTTTTAAAGGTGCGTGACGATCAAGAACTTGAGAGAGTGTGGTCGTGTAATCCTCTACAAGTACATCCAAATCCAGTGGGGTGATGGGATCGCTATTACCTCGATCACATAGCCCTGTAAGTACTACATCGTTCGATAGGCTCTCAGCGTCCAAGGATTTAGTTTTCCTAAACTTTATTATCCTAGTCTGAAATGACGGCTTACTTATGGCAACATGACAATGTACAGCTGCATGATCGGAGAAATAGCGACAGGCGCGTGGTGGACTCGCCAGAATATCCTCAATCTTTCTTGTTATAACAAGATCCAGGGTGTGACCACGTATGTGCGTTGAAACAATACTTCGACTCCAGCCAATAACTTGGCATTGTTCCTTATGCAAATAGGGCTCTCAGTCCAACAGTTCACTGAAGACGAGAAACAACCAAATATCCTAATATTCCAGCCAGTGAAATGCGTAAGCAACTCCAAAGCCGGCCAGTAGAAAGTGTGAGGTCTTACACATATACCCTCGTGGTCGTATTTCAGAGGGAAGGCAGCAGTAAGTATTAAAAAGACCACAAACACGTTGGTGGTTTTTGCGTGCCTGCACCTCATTTGCATCTTTGCTGCCTTTATGTCTATTGTTGATGGAATGGATATTCCTGTTGGTGAAAAAGTGTTACGTCTTCAAAGCAGTTTGACCGGAAAGGCCCTGACATTGGTGAAAGACCTAGGATACTCTATCAATGCCTACAAAAGAGCAAAGGAAAAACTCGAAAAGAAGTATGGAGGGGAGAGGCGTTTGCAAATTAAAAATTTGACTGCTCTGCGTGGATGGCAAAAAGTTCGACCCCGAAATCTAGAAGATATGGAGAACTTACAAGGTATACTGGAAAGAGTTTGGATAGCGCTGAAAGACTGTGGTCCAGGGCAAGAACTTCAAGGGCACAATCTGAACCTCACAGCAAAGGAAAAGCTTTCAGAGGAGGATGTGCAGGCTTACAAGCATTGGCTTATCGACCATTCCCTGGAAGACAGCTTCGAGTCACTCATAGAATGGGTAGAGATCCGAGTGCAGATTATGGAAGAAGCAAGGGAAGAGACGAGTGGGTTCGGGAAAAGAAAATCTGATGAGCCAGAAGGACGAAGAAATGGTTTTTGAAGTGATCGAGTTCGTGGCAGAACCTTCAACACCAAATCAAAGTCAAGAAGCTGTATTGTGGAGACATGTAAGCAGAACCATCCTCCATGGGTTTGCAAAGCCTTCAAAGAGTTACCTGTTCCAAAGAGAAAGGAGTTGATTGGAAGTGCCAAGCGTTGTTACCGTTGTCTAGCTGCTGGTCATCACAGCAAGGAATGCCCTAACACGAAGCGATGTGGAGTTGACAGATGTCTCAGTACTCATCATAGCAGCTATCTTCACGAAAATACTTCCCATCAACCGACGGACAGATCACAAGGCCAACTACATGTGGGCGCCTCGCCTTTCCGACTAGACGAACAGGCAAATCCAGAATCTAGAACCCTACAGAATGCAGGAGCAAGCATGAATGACCTGGCACCTCGAGAGCAGACACACAATACTACCCATGCTGAACATGTGTCTTTGATGATTCTCCCAGCTCTGATCAGCGATGGAAATAAAGGACTGAGGGTAAATGTCATGCTAGACCCATGCTCCACAAGTTCCTACATTTCTGAGGAGGCAGCTGAAGAGCTAGAGTTACATGGACAGGAGTTGAATCTGACGATCACAGGAACAGGAGGAGTAGAAGTCAAGACACGTTCACGCAGGGTTGAACTTACCGTGACAAACCTAGATGGTACCTTTTCAAGTCCGTTGCAGGCCCATGTCCTTGACAACATTGCCGGCGATACTCCAGCCATTCGCTGGTCAGAGCTGAAGGATAAGTGGCCCCACCTTCGCCAAGTGCCATTCAAAAGTGTATCAAGACGGCATCAGATTGACATCATGATTGGCAGTGATCATCCAGTCTTTCATCATGTACTGAAGGAAGCTTGTGGTGACCAACCAAATGACCCCATGGCGCATTTGACAAATTTGGGCTGGGTGTGCTTTGGTCCTACATTGGTGGAAGAATTCAAGCGTAACACTCATTCCCACTTCACACGCACGTACCGCAGCAGTCAAGTCAATAAGCCACCACCTCCTGATGACATTCTGCGTGCATTTTGGGAACTCGAATCCCTGGGGATCATGGACAAGTCTGAACAACGGATGACAGCAGAAGAGAGAGCAGCAGTCGCTCAAGTATCTTAGACACTGGAGGTCAGGAATGGGCGATACAAAATAGGAATCCCCTGGAAAGAAGGCGAACCAAAGTTCACTAACAATTATGATGTAGCTATCGTGCGACTCAAAAGCCAGGAGAAGTCCCTCAAGCGAAAAGGCCCAGCGGTCATGGAAGCCTACAACAAGATCTTTCAAGACTATGAGAAAAAGGACTACATTCGTCAAGTACCCCAATCTGAAGTTGAAAAGCAATGGTTTCTCCCCCACTTTCCAGTGGTCAAAGAAGACAGAGTCACGACAAAAGTGCGCGTGGTCTTTGATGCTGTGGCAAAGCATGATGGAAAGAGCTTGAATGACACCATATGGCCGGG